GAGGAGGAGATGGGATGGGGGGCGGGGGGAGTGAGCCACAAAAAGTCAATGTTATAGATGAAAAACTATAATCATTTTAATTCAATATTGACACCCCAGCATCTTGCTATAATGCGAAAGGTTCCAATCGAACCCTCTGCTTTATAGCAGTAGAGGAAGGAACTCGTAAAATCCTAACAGCTTTTATGTAGTGCGGTATAAACAACAACAACATCCCCGACTTTATGGCGTTTTATAGTTTGTTAAGCAGTTTACAGCCTTTTTTGGGGGCTATTACAAATGCAATTCCCTTCATGCGATAGTTAAACCTTTATCAATAATAAGGAAATTGATCATTAAAATGTTAAATATGACTACCTCGTTTGTTTTAAAATATGTTTAGGATAAGAAGCTGTATGATTTGATAACTTGTATTAAAATACCAATTACATTTATAGGACCTTTTAAAACGGGTAGCAATTAAATCGTGTTCTTTTACAGTTTTCCAAAGCGACCCTGACATTTAAAAAGGCTAAAACTGCCTCGTTAAATTTTTGAAATTAACGAGGGAGAGCGCCTCTCTTTAATTTTCCAACACTCCCCAAAAATCAATCTTTTGGGTGGTCTAGGTATTTGATTTGTTGTGAGGCGAGAGATATCTCATTAATGTAGCTAGTTAAACATATTTAATCCGTATATGCACCCCACCTCTCCCTCTCTCCCTCCCTCTCTCCCTCTCTGGCTTTTCCTTCTTTATTCTCTCACACTCTTCCTTTCACAATCATGCAGTGCAGAGTCCGTGTGGAGTAAGGAGAAGCCAATCGGATGAGGTTTTGGTAATAGATGCAAATGATCATGAAAAGACACTGCAAAATATGAAACAACTCATTTGCGCCGAAGTAAATCACTGAAAACTGTTTATGAACTGACTGGCACCTCTTCTTGGAAATGTAAAGCGAGAACTCCTATAAGTGGCGATTTTTTTTTAGGGGGGGGGGAAGAAGCAAGAATTCAGTATCATGCAGCCTTAGAGTTTTGATTATATCCTCCTTTTATATTCCTGGAAATCACAAACTGTTGTTGTCGAGCCTCTTAGCTCTTTCTGCGCTGCTAGATTCCCGTGGTTTAGGGGGAAAAAATTAAAATGAGCTCTTATTTTGTCAACTCACTGTTCTCCAAATATAAAACCGGGGACTCTCTGCGCCCCAACTACTATGACTGTGGCTTTGCTCAGGACCTGGGAGGCAGACCCACAGTTGTGTATGGACCCAGCTCGGGGGGCAGCTTTCAGCATCCGACCCAAATTCAGGAGTTTTACCACGGAGCACCCTCTCTCTCCAGCTCCCCTTACCAACAGAGTCCCTGCGCGGTAGCCTGCCACGGGGACCCCGGCAACTTCTATGGCTACGACCCACTGCAGAGACAGAGTCTGTTCGGGACGCAGGAACCGGACTTGGCGCAGTACGCGGATTGCAAGCTGGCGTCCAGCGGCCTTGGGGAAGAGGCGGAGAATTCAGAGCAGAGCCCTTCTCCCACACAGCTTTTCCCTTGGATGCGGCCGCAAGGTGAGGCGAAATAGAAAGGGCAGCGAGGAGGCATTTCCTGAACCCATAAAGTATCCCCCCCTTTCCACAGCGACTTTTTACTGCTTTATGGGGGTAAACTTTTGCACTTGTAAATTGCTTTATAGTTTAATTACCCTGAAGGAGACCTTTTCTTCTCCTGGTGCAGAGCGGGGCTTTCAGCGCGGGGCGCTTCCCCTAAAGTTTATTGCACTTTTATAGCCTTAAAGCCCCTTCATTTGAGGGTGGGTTTTTGTGTGTGTGTGTTGCGTTTTGTTTTGGGTTTCGCCCGGGCTCTAACTCTGCGCTGTCTTGATTACAAAGGAGTGAAGAGATATTTTTTTCCCCTTTTGCAAGGGAACAATTTTTTTGTTGTTGTTGCGAGCTCCGCTCTCGGAGAGTGGGGTGGTGGGGTCTTTTTTCCCGCCCCCACACAACTTTCTTTAAGAGCTGTCCTCCCCTATTGTAATATTCTAGAGGGGTCGGGTCTGGCTGTTTGTTTCCTGCCTTTGCTTCTCTGTTCTCCTCCCCCCCCCCCACCCCTTCGCTTTCTTTTCCGGAGCCTGGTTTATGTATCTTTCAACCTCCTTCTCTTCTCCCCAACCTTTGCCACCCCCCAGCAGCCGCTGGACGCAGAAGGGGGCGGCAGACCTACAGTCGGTACCAAACCTTGGAGCTGGAGAAGGAATTCCTCTTTAATCCCTACCTGACCCGCAAGCGGAGGATCGAGGTGTCGCACGCGCTGGGACTGACCGAAAGGCAGGTTAAAATCTGGTTCCAGAACAGAAGGATGAAATGGAAAAAGGAAAACAACAAAGACAAGTTTCCCAGCAGCAAATGCGAGCAGGAAGAACTGGAAAAACAGAAAATGGAAAGAGCCCAGGAGGTGGATGAGGAAGGGGAAGCACAGAAGGGGGAGAAGAAATAAGGTTTTTCAGAACTGAGAGACAAGCACTAAGGTCTGGCGAGATTCCGGCTCTTACATTAATGGCAGTTAATGTAAGGGGAGGGGGAGCAATGCATAGAAAAGAGAAAAAACCCTTTTATTGCTGTCAAACAATATAGCTGTAAGCCCCCACTTTTCCTGATTGTCCTTTGGTACAATGAACAGTATGCAAAAGAGATCCGGAGGTCTTTCTAGCCTTTTGCCAGTTATTAACTAGTGGTAGTGTATCGCAATAGCTTATGTAAAACATGACTGTGAATTCTCTCTCTCTCTCTTCTTTATGGGGGGGTTAACTCTGCTTTCAATGCTATAGGAGTTTATGTGAAATTACATTGTGCACTTTTTAATCACCCTCCTTTTTTTGTTGTGGTCAGCTGTATGATATTGGAGGTAGCTATGAAAACAGACACCCAACAACATGAAACTGCCTATTTATGCTGTAGTTACCTCTTTCTACTCCCTCTCTCTCTCTCGCTTTCTCTCTCTCTCTCTTTTATGTTTATTATTTGGTCACTTTCCTTTCCTTCCTGATTTGGGGTGGGATTTGTTCTTTTATTTTTGTTCACAATTTTGTCTTTTTTAGTGTCTCTGGCCCCCAAAACCTCTTTCCTCTCCTTTAGTTAGCATGCGCACAGTGAAGCAAGTTGTAAAGTGATCCTTAGGTTTACTGTGAAAAAAAGAATGTATACTGTATCCGTGAATTACTTTATGGGGGGAACTAATGATATATTTTGTTGTTCTTTCATCACTTTGTTCTATTGTCTAAACCTGGAAGCGGCGGAAGAAAGTTACAATAAAGTTTACAAGTGAGAATCCCGTGACAGCGGTCTTTTAACCTGCTTCATTTCCTCTAGGACTACTTGGATAGAAAGGAAATAAAAGTCAATTGTGCCCTGTCATGCAGACCTCGCAGTCAAAGAAGCGGCTGCCCTTTCGCGAGGCTGAGGAGTGGAGGTTGCTACTAAGCCTGGAGGACGCAGTGGCTGAAACTGAGGGCTTCGGGGGTGCCGGGGAAGGGGGGGGGGATGGATTGTTTTGTTGTGGTTGTTTTTTTTAAACAGTTCACATCTGTTGACAGATTAGGTGGCTGTGTGGAAATCCTTCCTCAAGGTAAATTTTTCTTTCCTTGCTTGCTCCCATTTTTTCCCAAGACGAAGCCCAATCACTCAGAAATGAATCATTCCTCCCCCCTCTCTAATCTGTTTGCAGAATTGTCAGATGGGCCGCGGAGTAGCTGACGCGCGTGTGTGTGTGTGTGTGTGTGTGTGAAAGACAGACAGAGGGACAGAGGGTTATTTTCCCTTTCGCCATAACCTTGGAAAGGAAGAATAGCGAAAACTGGAGCTGCCGATCGGTCGTGATCTCATATCCCAAGCAAAGCTTTCATTTAAACACGAGAAGGCGAGAGAGAGAGAAAGAGAGAGGTTACTTTGGGGAAGAACCGCCTGCTTCCCCAGCAGAAAGCTAAGCAGCGACCTGGTAAACTGTACTTGGCTTCCCCAGACCCGTTGACAAGCTAAACAAGGGATCTGTAGAGTCTTTATTTTTTGCAACAGGGGAAGCAAATGCCAGCTCAGCGCCTGTGGCATGGGAATAAATTAAATACACAACTGAATGGCTTTTTTTTTTTTTTTTTTTTAAAAAACCCCTAAAGTATTAGGTATCAATGAGGCATTTGTCTTTTCAGGGCTACAGATAAGGCGTGGGGGGAGAAAGGGGATAGAGTCTCCCGAAGAAGAAGAAAAAAAAAGCCATGACAAAGACAGTGAAATCTGATGGGGGCGAAGGAAGGAATTTTAGACAGAAGCAATGAAGGAATAAACAGAGCTCCGTTCATTTATTTCTCCCAGCAGAGAGAGAGAGAGAGAGAGAGAGAGAGAGAGAGAGAGAGAGAGAGAGTCGCTTCTTTATAGCCAACGTGTATCTTTTACTCCCCACTCCACACACACACACACACACACACACACACACACACACACACACACACACAATTACAGGTTGCTTATCGACTGCACAATTACACACACACACACACACACACCCCTTACAGCCCGGATCTTGGAGGGTTCCTATCCCATAAATTATTTATCATATTTTATAAATCCAGCAGTCCTACTATTTTTTTCCACATTACCAGGAGCCAGTGGGGAAGCTGGCTGCTGATTGGGGCGGACAAAATCACGTGCCCCGGAGTCACATGGTCAGGGAGGAAAAAGGGGGTTCTTTTTGGTGTAAATCTGGACTCTAATTCCGTAATATATCACGGTACCTCGTAAAACCGACACTAAAACGTCCCGGCCTACAAATCACCCGGCCAAATTATGAGTTCATTGTATTATGCGAATGCTTTATTTTCTAAATATCAAGCCGCAAGTTCAGTTTTCCCATCCGGAGTCTTTCCGGAGCAAACTTCTTGCGCGTTTGCCTCCAACACCCAACGCACCGGGTATGGGTCCGCTTCCAGCACCTCTTTTGCCGCTTCCATGCCGGGTTTATACGCCAATGGGAGCAGCATGCACCCCCAAACCTCCAGCATGTACTCCACCGGCTACGGCCTAGACAGCAGCTCCTTCAACATGCACTGTTCTCCGTTCGAGCAAAACCTCTCTATGATGTGCCCGGGAGATGCCTCTAAGCAGGGGTGTAGCAAAACGGATCAGAGGGATTCCGATTTGCAAAGCGAGAGCAACTTCCGGATCTATCCCTGGATGCGAAGCACAGGTAAGTGGAAACCTCCTTCAAGAAAGACGCCTAAAGGGGCGGTGGGGGGGTGCAAAAAAATTTAAATGATTTTATGGCGTGCGGGAAAGGAGGGGGGTGGGCAGAGCAGGGGGTTTTGTCCCCAATTCCTTGCATGAGGTGTGGCCGAAAAGAGAGCTCTCTCTTCGCTCGCTTGCTCGCGCTGTCTGCCTTCCAGAGAGGAACCCCTCCACCCATAAAACCACCCTTTTAGCTTTAAATATTTATTAGAATTGCTGGGGCTGCGTACGGGCCATGCAAAAGGCCGTTTGTCTTCGTGAGGAAAGGCAGGGCGACAAAGTAATGACTTTCGGTCCCTCTTCTGGAAGCTACTCCGTTCATTTGTGTTTATGGGGACCGCAAGAAGCACTGGAAAGGCAGGGCTTTTATATACATCTCTAGATACACACATTTTGTTTGCTTGTGGAATTTGCGCTTGTTTGTTGAAGATTGCCAGAGCTTTCCTGGCTAAAGCCCTCGCATCCCGTTCCAGCCTGGGTGGTTGGCGTGATTCTAATAGAAACTGCGACACCTCATTCCACGTGCAGTTAAATCCGCGCTCTGGAAACGGCTGAAATTTCTGAAGGCGACAAAGGGTCTCGGGTCCACAGCGCAGCCGCCCAAGTAACTGGTCCGTGTTTATGCTTTTTGTGGGGTCACTCTGCTTAGCGGAGCGATCCGTGGGAGCGGATCTGCAAGGAGCTTATTAGACAAAGTGCCTGCACCAGCTTCCAAAAGTTGTGAGACACACATGCTGGCAGGGTGATGCACACACACGGTCCGTGGAGCTGTGGATACCGGGGTCTCAGTAAGTGTAGGTGCCGACTTAGCACATGTATTTAAAACACAGATCTGTCTAGTGCACCCATCCCGGCTGGCGTATGTATATTTCATCCCCAAACACGCTTCGTCTCAGCATATTAGTGTCAATTAACATTTAATAAACACCCTGATTCATTACAAGAGACAGAGGTCTGACATAACCTTAGTTTCCTCATACACTGAAATCATTTCAAGAATTAAGAAACACTCCGGCAATAAAGCGTGACCAAACTGGTCTGACTTTTTTTTTTAACTAAATCACTTCTCTTATCTTTCTTATCTGGTCTTTCTCAGATCACGGCCTAGAAAACTAAAATAGGAAGATCTCATTTTTTATTGCAAATGGAGTTTTTTTTAAAATAGGTCGCTGTCCCATTGAAAACCGTGTGGAACATGTAAGGTCATGTCGCTGCTCTAGTTTTCCAATGACTTGCCAGATTGCAACTTGATAGCCTTTTGACTAATGAGTTCACTTAAAGCTAGATATTCTGAATATGTCTTGTTAGGAAACTTTAGGGAAGAAGAAACTCCTGTCCAAGCGGGGTGCTAATTAAAGGAAGCCTAATGCGGGCTCTTGCACAGGCAGGAATGTACTCTCTGCTTATTTGTGGTCTGTATTTTCCATCGCCGGTTCCATAATTCATTCACCTTTACAGTTGAGGTATCAAAGACTAAATATTTCTGGTTGCGAACACTTCATCTCTGCGTTTCTCTGGCTTCCGAGATAAGCAACCCCCTCCCCCCCCTTTTCTGGCATGTGCCATTGTATAGCAACAAGGCTAGGAACGATTTTGAAATTGGGCGAACATGCTGGATTCCTGCGAAGACAAACCCTCCAAGAGGCATAGGGTGTGGTACGCAGAGCCCCAGAACTAACATTCTACCTGCACCTAGAAGAATCCCCATCCCCAACCTTTGCCCAGTGTGTAATTGGGGTTGTGGGATTTCATCAGCGAAGAAGAGAGAGTTTAGCAATTTCCATTCAAGCCAGTTTATGGCTCTCTTCCCTCACGGATTTTACAACCCACATTCCACTGAACTGCACATTTTACTTCCTCGCCTCTTTTACAGCTAGCCTAGTCATTTCCCCTTTCCTTTCTTTAATAACAGTCTTTTCTTGCTTACCCTCCCCCTCCCCAAAAGCCCCTCCACTGGAATGTTTTGGATCAGTGTTGAGGGCTTGTAGGACCCATTCTGGTGATCATCGGAATAGAAAAATAGAAAACCGCAAACATCATGTTGCTGCGTAATTATTTCCAATTGAATTCCAACAAATGACCCGAAAATGTACGCTGGTTTCATTCCAGACCCCATTTCTCAGACAACTACATAGTTGTGGGGAAGCTGGATAACTTGCTGCGTCTTTGTTGCAGCCTGTTCCCAGGCAGATAAAAATATTCCTCTACAAAAACTTCGGTTTAGGCGGCCTCATCTTTCATACAGATTTTTTTTAAAATATACCCCACTTTCATCTGAGGAAGTAGCCTGATCCACGCTTAACCACTGACTGCGCGTTTCCAGCAGGCCAGAAGAGCAATGGGATACAGAAAACATTCCGTTTAATAATTAAGACCATTGCGCATCTTACAAACGGAGCTTTAATGGTGACAGCTTTAACAAAGCAGGAATAATTGAAATGGCATATTCAGCAGATACTTCTAGCTAGCGATGGAATGTATTTATCGCTTTGTTTATTTACTTGCTGGATCCTAAGAAATGTCTTAGGTTAAAAAAAAATGCGTTCATATCAAAGTGGTTCCCAAAAGTCACAAACGTTCTCTCTCCCCTCCCCCGCGCAACCTAAAAATGGGTAACACTCCCCCGCCCCAGATTAAAAAATAATTCAGTTTGTGATGGGGCCTATGTTACACTAATGCATTTCTTCAAAAATGAACGGAGCACATCCCTAGCTGATGGGAAAGTGTCCGTGTTCTATTGAGAGATGGGCCATATCTAGAATATGTTGAAACAAAAATAACCCCCCCAACAAACAACCAGAGTTTATTGGATTCTAATTTATTGTTTCACAGGGACAGACAGAAAGCGGGGACGCCAAACCTACACCAGGTACCAAACCTTGGAGCTGGAGAAAGAATTCCACTATAACCGCTATCTGACGAGGCGAAGGCGCATCGAGATAGCCCATGCCTTGTGCCTGACAGAGAGGCAGATCAAAATCTGGTTTCAGAACAGACGCATGAAGTGGAAAAAAGAAAATAAAACTGCCTGTCCCGGTTCAAATAGCCAGGAAAAACCAGACGCTGAAGATGAGGAGGAAGACTGAAAGCGGAACGGGACTTGAGTCCAGAAAACTAATCCAGGAAACGAGAAACCTAAACCTAAAGGACTATATCTATAAAAAAATAAATGAAATCAAAATAAAAACAAACCTAGGAAAGATGCATTCTGTTTCCTGACACTGAAAAAAATACTACCTATATTACAGTCTCTTTTTTGTACAATAGAATGGATAATGATATCTACCTATTAAATGTGGCTTCAGAGTCAAAATAGATACATTTTTCTATGTGGGTCTTCATATAGTACAAAGTATTTGTAAAGCTCCCTGTTTGTATTTCCTTGTGTACTTTTTTTGGGTATGAAGTAATGTGTGGTCTTGCTAGCACCTTTAATTAGAAAATGGTATGGGAAAGTCTGAAGGGAAATTAAACTTATGAGTATATATAGGACTCTGTACATAATAGGAATTATGACCGCTTGTTTGTTGTAACGTCTGTGTTTCTTTTCTGGTTGCGATGCTGTTTTGCCTGTGTATATTTTTACCTGGATCACTTCCTTGTTCAAGTCATTAGAGAGAGAAACAATAATTAATACTGTACTAAGTAAAGCCGTGTCTATCCAGGTCGCAGATTATTTAATTGCGGCGCGTTTCTTTTTCCTGGTTTGTGATTTCAACATAATAATAATAAAGAAGCCCCGCCAATAGTTCGCCTCAGTTCATTGCACGTATATGTTTGCACTGTTACAAACTAGTTGTTGGTTTCAGGGTAGAAGGCAAGTTCCCCCTTTTAATTCCCCGATACCTCTTTTCCCTCACCCTCTAATTTCCAGCATAACATTGCAATGACATTTCTACAGATGTTAAATACTTCAAAACATTTTGCAAACTAAAACCCATAGTCGGGGATAAAAACCTATTGCCAAGAATGTGGGATTGCAGATTTCACTTTTTTTCCCTTTCGCCAAATATCTGCGCAGATTATTCTACTGGGGAAAAGATGGAAAAGCTAAAAACAGTGAAGCAAGAAACAATTATGTATCTATCTATATCTATATCCACATACAGGCATGGATATGAATATTATTAATATATTCCTGTGGTAATTTGACCCTTTCCCAAGGACACCAGATATTTCGCTATGGTTTGGGGTTTGGCGTTGTTTTCTCCCCCCGCCCCTTTCGATTGCTTTATTGTGGACTATAACTATTTCATTAGCACCAACTAATGTTTAACATGAAAGCACACATAAAATAAATTAAACCAATTAAACTCAGGAAAATCAACAACGCAAAAACAATGGAAACTAATTTTAAGCGCTTGTGAGTGTATCTCTCTCTTTCTCTCTCTCTCTCTCTTCCTTTTTCTCTTCTTTCTCTTTAATATTTCCAATGCGCACAATCAACGTGTCCTTCGAGTAGGCGATGGACGTAATTCTAGAAATGTGTGCGTAATAGTAATACGAATAAATAGACCACGTGGAATTAGCGGTAGTTGGTAAATTCTTTTTCTTTCTTTCTTTCTTTCTTTCTGTAGTTGGTAAATTCTTTCTTTCTTTCTTTCTTTCTTTCTTTCTTTCTTTCTTTCTTTCTTTCTTTCTTTCTTTCTTTCTTTCTTTCTTTCTTTCTTTCTTTCTTTCTTTCTTTCTTTCTTTCTTTCTTTCTTTCTTTCTTTCTTTCTTTCTTTCTTTCTTTCTTTCTTTCTTTCTTTCTTTCTTTCTTTCTTTCTTTCTTTCTTTCTTTCTTTCTTTCTTTCTTTCTTTCTTTCTTTCTTTCTTTCTTTCTTTCTTTCTTTCTTTCTTTCTTTCTTTCTTTCTTTCTTTCTTTCTTTCTTTCTTTCTTTCTTTCTTTCTTTCTTTCTTTCTTTCTTTCTTTCTTTCTTTCTTTCTTTCTTTCTTTCTTTCTTTCTTTCTTTCTTTCTTTCTTTCTTTCTTTCTTTCTTTCTTTCTTTCTTTCTTTCTTTCTTTCTTTCTTTCTTTCTTTCTTTCTTTCTTTCTTTCTTTCTTTCTTTCTTTCTTTCTTTCTTTCTTTCTTTCTTTCTTTCTTTCTTTCTTTCTTTCTTTCTTTCTTTCTTTCTTTCTTTCTTTCTTTCTTTCTTTCTTTCTTTCTTTCTTTCTTTCTTTCTTTCTTTCTTTCTTTCTTTCTTTCTTTCTTTCTTTCTTTCTTTCTTTCTTTCTTTCTTTCTTTCTTTCTTTCTTTCTTTCTTTCTTTCTTTCTTTCTTTCTTTCTTTCTTTCTTTCTTTCTTTCTTTCTTTCTTTCTTTCTTTCTTTCTTTCTTTCTTTCTTTCTTTCTTTCTTTCTTTCTTTCTTTCTTTCTTTCTTTCTTTCTTTCTTTCTTTCTTTCTTTCTTTCTTTCTTTCTTTCTTTCTTTCTTTCTTTCGTCAGGGAAGCTGAAACATTTAATAAAATACCTTTCTTTCATTTTTCCTCGCCCATACACAACATACGGTTTCCACTTATAACCGAAATAACCCTACCAAAGTTTTTAGACAATACGATGCAACATATTGCTAAAAGAAATCATGATGGTAGAACACCTATTCCAGATATTAGCCATGATGGCGTTTACACAGAAATCCTGCCGGATCGGTGAATAAAAAAAAGTGAAAACTAAATTTTTCCCATATCACATTATTCCCCCCATTGTCACTTGTTTTCACGGGTGCGTTTTCCAGAGCGAAAACTGCGT